AGTGTTTACTACAGCACTGTAGTACCAGGTCTGCACCACATACTGTAGATACTACTTTTAAAAACATGACCAGAAATAACTACTTTTTTAAGACTCCAAAGTGGCCACTTCACTTATTAAGAACTGACTTAAATGATGAATTACAGCATGAGGAACTTCATAGCACTGGAGATGTAGTTTTTTCTGAGAGGAAAATGTCTGGGTTTAGATATTTCAGACCTTTCCTCGAGCTAATTAGTTAATACTTTAAAAGGCTTCAGCTTGGTATGTGTGTAGGATACCTAGAATATGTATCTTTAGTCATTCTGTACTGTGTCATGTTGGAATACGTTATTCAAGGAAGTTAGGCTGGAGTAGGATGGGCTTTTTAAATGTGTGATTTTTTTCCAGGTATGTTCTCATCAACTTTGCAGCTGTCATTCGTGCATCTGCTTGCTGTTTTTTAATTCCTTGCATTTCTTCCTCCTTCTCTTGGTTTAAGAATTCATCAGGGATTTACTGCCTTTTTTTTTTTTTTTTCTGTCAGCGTGAATATTGTAACAGGAGTCCCAGTGGCCTTATGTTCAGTATTTACCTAGTAGAGAGTTCAGGGCCCTGTTGGGAAGGCATGCCTAAAGTTCTCAGTTGGTGGTGGAATATTTAGTCTGACAGAGCCTTTCAGATCTGCCTTCCTTTTGATATCTTTTACATTAAAAATACTCAAACAGCATGTTTTTCTTTGATTTTAATGTGGCTTTGTACTGATACTTAAACATATTCATAGGCACTAACCTGTCAGAGTAAGTCCTCAGCATACTATATTCAAAGTTTGTGTATGTTTTCTCTTAAGGCTTGAGCGATATTTACTGTATGCTTCTATTCAATATGTTTTAAAATCTTTTTTATATGATATTTGTGTACAAAGGTATTTTGCTAGTTTAGCTTATCTGCCTTGTTGAATTACTTTTAGCTATTTTGACGAAGTTTTTCTAAGTCTGTATAAGCTCTGTCATTAATAAGGGGTTTTGTATGTACAGCTACACCAGTATAATTTTTTTGTGAACAACTTTAATGTGTGTTTCGTGTGCACTGAACTTGTAAGTTAAGACCGATGCCTGTAATTGTATTGATTATAAAAATCGAAGTGAGTTCTCAGAACATGTTTAGTATTTTATAGTTTAAAATATGTAAATCTGAGTATTGGAAACGGATGGATTGAGTGGTGTTCAATGAATTAGAAGGTATTCAATTAGAAAAAAAAAAAAGGCTGTACAGTGAAGGGAGTCCTTTTCAGCCGAATTACTTTCCCTTTCTCAAACATATATTATTTAAAAAAATATTTATATTCAAGGCTGAAATTTACTTATAACAACTTCGGCTTTCTACTTCTGCTTTATTTACTTTATTTGAAATGGTAATTTTGAATAATAACTTTAAAACCAGATGAGATCAGAAACAAAGGATTTTGAAAGAGGAATTTTGAACTTTTCCATGAGGTTTGTTGTGATTGTGAACTCTTGCTCCTACAATTGAACAAAATATTTGAATGAGCGTGAGTTTCCTTTTTGAAGCTTTTGTCTGGTGGTTAGCAGTTGGAGATACCTGGATCATTCTCTGAAGAACATGTGTAGCTCTAGCAAGAGAATTCTTCCATCTATGCCTTTCTATTAAATACTTTTTGTTAAAGAACGATTACCAGAGCAATGTTCCCGGTTTAATGTAGAGCAGTAGACACTGCATATTCGCTGACTGGTAAGAGTACAGACTCTGCAAAAAAGCATTACTAGAGGTAAAAACATTTAGCACTACGGGGTAGGATCATATATTCGGAAAGTGGGTATAAGAAAACATGCTGTGACGTTTAACCTGTAGCAGGCACTGGGATGGACTTGCTGCAGTGGAATTGAGTTCAGATTACTTGTGCCAATTGGTTTTTGTTTTTGTTAAAACAGGAGAAGAGGTCGATATGATTACTGATGCTTATTACTGCTTGTGGCATATGCCTACAAAAAGTTGAGGGAATGTAAATATGGGATTGAAAGTTGAGAAATGTTTTACATGTTTAAATGCATGTGAACGTTTTTCTAGTAGCCAAATTTTAGCATAAGAATGAAGTTATGTCTAAATTTCTGTCACACTTGTAATGCATAGATTCCATTTATGCTCAGGTCTGTGGTATACTGCAGCATATACAAATTAAGCTAAGGATTCAGACCTGTGTCTAGCAACTGAAAGTGTGTATCACGCAGTAAGCACTAGAATTGAAATATAAATTTGTTTTAAATTTTGAATGCAACTTAGTCTATTTGAAATTTCTAGGTGGTATTCTGATTATTCTCATTTTTCTGAATTGTCAGTTAAGGACCTTTCTCTACTAATGTTATGTTCTGCAAGAGTTTAGCATGATATATACTGTATAGATCTTTGTTTTATCCTCTTTTTTGCTGCCATCAGCATGGGTGCCTTTCCTGTTTTTTTTTTTTAAGGTAACATCACTTAGTAGAACAATGTCGATTGTAACAGCATAAAATACAAGACAGAGAGGTTTAGAAAAACTGATAAAGCGAGCTCAAAATGGGTGAAAAATTGATATATGCACAACAAAGATACAGTGAGCATATTGCATATTATTCATACACAAAGGCTGCTGTTCTGTAAGAAAATACTGTCAAACTTGGAGAACATCTGAATTTGTTTATCAGAAAAACCTCAAGGCCCCTATAATCCAAACCAGCAGATTTTCACTAAACCAAAGGATGAAGAATTTATAGACAACATTTCAGAATTCAGTTTGAATGAAAAAGTAGAAAGGAATTGCTTTAAAAAAAGCAACTCTCTCCTAAACAAAACCGTGAACTCTTAATATCCAGAACTCTAATAGCTATAAGGAACAGAAATTTTCAGGCAGACCTCCTGTGCTCACAGTTCTGTAAAGTTTAAATGTTTTTTACTTCATGAGACCAGTTATTCTTCTTTTCCACAACTTCACATTGTTAGCAGTTTAGTTTTAGCATCATCTTTAATAAAAAAAAAGGCATTTTATAAGAGTCTGAAAAGCAGTAAAAGATCAGAGTATAACCTTATTAAATCTGTCTAAAATACTAGCTACAGAAACAAGCATCGTCTTCACAATAGTGTGGAGGAAACGATCAGTTTGTGTGTTTTTTCAAGCCTTGAACAGCAGATATAGAAGAGGAGACTTATGTTTCAAGTTAGTACATAAAAAAGGAGGTCAGCCTTCTGCTGCGTAAAGATCATTACCAATTTAATTTAAAAAAGTGAAAAGAAATTACCTAAAATCATACTGTCAATTCACAGAAACATTTTCTCCATCTCACTCTACCACAAAATGCACTGTATTCATTATTGCTTAATTAGCATCAATTTTAAGTAATTAGTCTGTTATTATTTCTTAAAAAATAGTATTTGTTGAATAGCCAAAATAAATAGAGTTTTAACTTGAAAGCATGTAAGTTCTTCTGTTGTGTACAGGGGAATTTCTACTCTGGCATATTAAATAATAATAATAATAGAATTCTGTATGATTGTTTTGTGTTGTTCATATGTGGTTGTATCGCATACAGAGTGATAAATGCAAAGGCAGTGCCACAGGAGAAAGTGATTATGTATTTTGGAAATTAAAAGTACATTTATGTACATTTTTATTGGGGATATTTTCTGTAGAGTTTCTTGGAGTTGGGTGGATGGATTGAAATTCTGAGGTCGTTCTGGGGTGGACAATATTGCTAAGATTTCCAAAATCGTAACTGGGAGAGGAGAGAGGAAAGCGCTAATTGTTTGTTATTTTTAAGCAAGTTTTTTTTTGTTTGGGTTTTGGGTGTTTTTGATTTATTTTTTTGTTACACTTTTTGGAGTCTAAGTGGCTTTCCAGACAAGGTGTTCCATTTTCTACCTTGCTCGTGAGAGAGGAATTACTTTAAACTGAATATGAAGTAGTTGTATAGTCACTATAGTAGGAGCTGGAGCACTAACTGCAGTGGGGTTTTTTTGTCTTATAGACTGACTTTTTTTTCCACTAGATAATTTTGAGTGCGTGTGTCATTGTTTAAGTCAGTTGTAGCAGATTTTGAACAGCAACAGCTGACTCTGATCATATTATCAGATTAGAACCAAATTTGTGGAAATTGAAGTAAAACAAGTCAGCTTGTAATGTTTGTTGTGAAGAGTAGAAAGGAGAAGAAAAGAATCGAGGATTATTATATGAAAAGTGTCCCCAGAAAGATTTTGTCTCCCCCCAAGTTGTTTTACTGTTATGACCATAGATAAATAATATGAAAATAGCACACTAATTTTCTGAGGCATGATTCAGCTTGAAACTGGGAGAGGACTGCAAATCTGTAGTGACATTGAAGTTGCGTTAAGGAACGATAAGAGGGCTGGAGCACCTTTCCTATGAGGACAGGCTGAAAGAGTTGGGGCTGTTCAGCCTGGAGAAGAGGAGGCTCCGGGGTGACCTTATAGCGGTCTTCCAGTACCTCAAGAGGGCCTACAAGAAAGATGGGGAGAGGCTGTTCAGGAGGGCCTGTTGTGATAGGACAAGGGGTAATGGTTTTAAAATAGAGGGAGGTAGATTCAGGTTGGATATTAGGAAAAAATTTTTTACCATGAGAGTTGTAGAACACTGGAACAGGTTGCCCAGAGAGGTGGTGAATGCTCCATCCCTGGAGACGTTCAAGGCCCGGTTGGACGAGGCCCTGAGCAACCTGATCTAGTTGGAGATAACCCTGTTTGTTGCAGGGGGTTTGGACTAGATGACCTTTGAAGGTCCCTTCCAGCCCTAACCATTCTATGATTCTATGAACAGTAAAAAAAAAAAAAAAAATTAGTTTTGCAAATTCAAGCATTGAGAAGTTAGGAAACTTCTCTTAGCTGGTGTTTGGGTCTCCTGGGAGCTCTGCTGGGCAAGAACCCTCACTGCAGGCTGTGACAAACTGTTCAGCATCGGGCTTTCAGATGATCTGCTTGGATGCTGCGCTCACGTGCTAGCAGCGTAAGAGACGATGCAGTCGTCCTGCTCTCGCTGCGGGAGGCTGTTGGTGTACCTGCTTCCAAGGTGACGTTGTGCTTGGACAGCTTTTTCCTCTGGATAAAGGATTTTTAAATCTGAACGGGGAAAAAACAGATGTGATAGTTGAAGGAAAACGTTTTTGAAGAATTTTCAATTGGTATGCAGTCTGGTTTTTGATTAGCAGTATATATTTACGTTTTGTCAGTTTAGTGTGCGTGGGTTCTTCTGGAATGTAAACCAATTGTAAGCTCCCATCTCCTGTATCTATGAATAATGCAGACTAATACAGAATACTGTGATATGTCCCCCAGCAGCTCCAGTTGCTTTTACAGCATGAAATTCTGCTATTGCCTGCTTTCTGGAGGATGCCGAGTTATGTTTGAAGCTTTGGCCTTTAACTTCATAGCGCTCTGTGCTGGGCCCAGGCTACCCTGAGGATGGATGCTGACAGACCTGCTTTTTCTTAGTGGCTGTGTTTGCACGGAGGATGTTGCTTGCTGTGCAGGAGGTAGCTTCTTTGGAGAGAAGAATTCATGATGTGGTGAAGGATTTGGTTTCTTCTGCCCAGTGTCCAAAATGCATATTTTTTTAATGATCAACATTCAGATTTATAATTAAGCTTCAGCATTGAAATATCTCTTGGTTTAATGTGGAAGAGATTGAGAACTGCAGTTTTATTCCATCGTTGTGACTAGTGGACTAGTGACTAGTGCTGGGACAGCATTGGTGTGATATTCCCATTCAGTGCTGCTCCCTGACCACAGTTTAGTTTTACTTCTCAAGTTATTTTTCTCTAGAAAGAATGTACAGTTCAGGTGCATCAGTGCAATTTTTTTCCTCTTGTTGTAGTTCTTTAAAACAATAGCGTTAGCTTTGATCACCACTCAAGCTAGCTGTCTATCGCATGAGCAGTGTGTGTGTGTTAAATCCTGCCTGGTTTTGTGGAGTCTGAGGTCTTCCTTTGGTTTGTGCTAAATAACAGGCTTAAATAGTATAAGAAAATGCTGCTCTTCTGCCTGATAAAGCAGTGTCTAACCATTTAATTAGTTTTTGAGTTATGAAGCATGAAATGGCTTTCTGCAGTATTCTTGCTTACTTTGGCAGATTTTACTCTAAAACAGCGCTGCAAAGTTTGTTGTAGATTACTATTTGTGAAACATTATAATAAAATTATATCCATTACATTAAATAATATTCTACTTAATGTGGATATACTGCTTACTGTGTTCTGAATTCTTCATTGATGTGCATGAGGCCAGCTTCTACACTGAAATGCTTCATGATTAATTTTAGATTGAATTTAGATGTCTAAAACAGGAAACTATCTCCTAAATTTCACTTCATTGCCTGTGTACCTCTTACAGAGATTTCTGTGATAATATTGTATGAACGCTTTTTCCTTATGCTTTCAAAATTAAGAGTTTTCATTTAATCTGCTTTTTATGGTGTTCATATGTAGGTAGTGGTAAGATTCTCTAAAAACACATTTAAGATAAAAAGTCTCTCTAAGAGTCTCAATATTTTTATAGCATAAATCACTTGTACTGTATCACTGTATTCATTTGTAATTAGGTAGACTGACTTTTCCTCATTAACAGTCACTTAGTATTACACTCAGAATTACTGATTTCATCATTGAAAAATCATGGGAGTATTTATTATATTTTTAATTTTTTTTTAAGACTATTAGGCAGTTGGAGCTGTTTCAGTCTAAATAGTTCTTTCTAGTTTGCTATGAGGTGCACCGTGGAATATTGTTTGGAAATATGCTAGGCAGTTGCTTCTCTGGAAAAGAAAGGTGATACTTTCTTACATATCTGGACCATCTTACGTATATGGACTCTGTCTTTAAAAATACCCTTGATTGTTTTTCAATTACTTTGGTAGGAAAGGTTTTGGTCCTCTATATGTATTGATCGTACCAGCTTTAGACATGAGCTTCTGTAATTTAATTGCTTTGATTTATTTTTTTTTAATTAATCTATTTGCAGATGTGATGCAGATCCATCTGCCCTAGCTAAATATGTTCTGGCTTTGGTAAAGAAGGATAAAAGTGAAAAGGAACTGAAGGCACTGTGTGTTGATCAGCTGGATGTATTTCTTCAGAAAGGTATGGTCTTTGTCATAACAGTTAAGCTTGAGTGAATAGTCTGTCTTGTTTAATTCATTCAAACAATCTTTTGCCATAGAATCATGCATTTATCTCTTTATTAGATTTGTTACTTTGAAGTATGTAATTCAATTTTCATGAAATAACTTGTTTTATAAAACAGGTGTGTAGCACAATATGCATGTATTAGGTATATGTTTTTTGTCTATTGGTATTCCTGGAAGAAAATTACGAATGTTAGGAGTTATTGCCAGAATTAGAGGTATTGAAACTCTGTATATATTCCAGAAATATTCTTTTAGATGTTTTATTAAGAGACATTAAATAATTTGATGATTGAAAACCTTCATGAAATGTTGTCATTATTGACGTATTTCTTGACTCTGTAAATATCCTTTTTAAATATAAAATGAACATCAGAGTACTTAAAAAAATACTCTTAATTGTTTTAACTTTTTGGTGAATGTTGTTTGTTTTTTTTTTTTTTTTCCAAATTTATTTCTTTTGGAAGCAAACGTTAGCTGAAGTTTTGAATAATGAATAATGAATATTTGTACACTCTTTACTTTTAGAAACTCAGATATTTGTGGAAAAACTGTTTGATGCTGTGAATACAAAAAGCTATCTACCTCCACCAGAACAGCCATCGTCAGGAAGCCTGAAAGTAGATTTTTTTCAGCACCAAGAAAAAGAGACAAAAAAAGAAGAGGTAGGCATTGATTTTATTTTAAATTTGTCTTTTAAACTCCTTCCTCTGGCTTACTTATGTAGTTCAACTACATTGTGTTTATTTATTTATTTATTAAGAATAGTTCCCAAACTTATACTACAGTATTAAAACATACCAGTTTTGGGCCTAGTATGTTGAGTAGTGCTGGACAATTTTTCTAAACATAAGTGGGTGCTTAAAGGGTAGACCAAACTGATTCTGACTAGGCAAATGTAAATAAAGTTATTGAGTAGTGTGGGAGTTGCAGTACAACCTACATTAGTTCTTTACTCAGAATTGCTGTTGTAGTTATGCTGCCCTTTAATTCAGCATAAATCCAGGCTGCCATTCCTCCAGCTGTTTGATCCAGATAACATCCTCATTCTGACACAGGCACTTATGTTATTCTTTGAGTCAGAAGAGTAGGTTTGTCCTTTTCAACATCGGCCTAGGTTTGGCTGTATGCAAGTGTTTAACTGTGAGCTGAACCAGGTAACCTGCTGATGAAGATAAGACCTTACTATGTCAATCGTTGAATATTCATGTCTTCCCAGATCCGTCATTGCACCTTAGTGTGAATTTTTGTCCACCTGTAGCAAAAGCAGATGTATTTTCAGTGCTGCGCAATAAGGATTGCTTATTCTGCTTTATTTTCTCCCGCCTCGTGCTTTGAATATTCGTAGAAATAGAAATCTAATACGTCACGAAGATTCTCTAATTGCATTAGATGCAAAAACGTTCAGTTCAATGTTACTGCTGACTTTGCTCAGCATTTTGAGTTTTTTGGTTTTATTTGATTATGCAGAAGTCTCCATGATAGTGTACTCATGTTTTGACATAATGTGTATGCTTTAAATTCAGATAGTTAAAGAGGAAGAGCGAGAGAAAAAGTTTTCTAGAAGATTAAATCACAGCCCTCCTCAGTCAAGTTCTCGCTACAGAGATACCAGGTAATAAGTTTTGCTTAACCTCTTGTATTATATACATCAGCAATCAGATGGATTTTGATTTTTATGTTGTTACTAAATTCCATATTTTCTTCCTGTATGGTCAACTAATAAGCTTAAAATTAAGACTTTTATTGCTTTTATGCGTATGTAGTTAAATGGTGAGTATATAAGTGACAGTGTAAACTGTCTCTGTTGTGTACAACTATCACATTTGAGTTTTATGATTCATTTTTGTGTTTCATTTGTGGTTTATATTACAACACTTAATCTGCTCAGTGTTGTGACTGAATTGTGATAATTTCAATTCAGAAGCCTTCCCTTCAGTAACTGTTGCCTTTTTGGCATTTCCAACTTGGAGAAGGTGCTGTATTGGGCGGAAACAGAATTTTACATAAGTTTTAAAATCTTACAAATGTCAAAAGTAAAATGCATAAACCAAATAAAAGAATTTTAAAAGTCTTCTGAGAAGAAAGAAAGGGCCGTAGTTAGATTCCATTTGTAGCTTTTCTCTGATTTTCCATTGCTGTTTCGTGAGGTTTTTAATGGTAGTTAAGGTTTTAAATTATGACTTCATTACTCTTGTAATTAACCTACAAAATTACCTGTTTAGAAGCCGTGATGAAAGGAAAAAAGATGAACGTTCTCGGAAGAGAGATTATGACCGAAATCCTCCCAGAAGAGATTCCTATAGGGATCGATACAACAGAAGAAGAGGGAGAAGTCGGAGCTACAGCAGGAGTCGAAGTAGGAGTTGGAGCAAAGAGAGATTGCGGGACCGAGATCGAGACCGGAGCAGAAGCCGGAGTAGAACGCGAAGCAGAGGTACCAGCAGTTGGTCTCTAAAATATGCTGAATGTTGCCTACAAAATTTAGACACTAAACTTAAACACTATGTTTAAGATGTACCGAAATTTCCTCTATTGTTCTTCTTTCTTTGTTAAAATTTAGCTTCGTTTTCTGTGGAAATAAGGATTATGTGATTGTTTTCAGTGCTGCTTCTCCCGTCTTTCCCTCCGTTCTTCTCTAATACCTTTGACCTGTGTTGGCCACTTTTAAGCAACGTTGTAAGAGAGACAGAAAAATCCAAGTTAATTGCATTTCATTAAGTTTTAGGAAACTCGGAATCTGGTTTGGGAAGATACAGAAATTAATACCCGTCTATGGAGGTAGAACTGGCAGAAATTACCTGTTTGACAGCAAATAACTTGTCAAGCAGAACAGTACAGCTCTGTTCTTTTCGTCTTGTCCCCTTCTTGGGGTCATAGGGAGGGGCTGAAATTATTACAGTAAATATTTGCCATGTGCACACGTATCTGTAGGATTTAAGGCTTCAGTACAGTAGTATTTTGACTTAAACTTCTTTAAAAACAAAGCTGTTTGTTCAGCTGGAAAGAATGCTTTTCCCCCCAATGTTGTTACTGATAAATTGAAACAGAGCATTGTGAGTCATTTTATGTCTTTACTCTGTCTTAAACGGTGTAGAGGTAAAAATAATCTGGTTCAAGTCTCCTGTGTATTGTCTTTCTGTAGAATGGACCTTGGTAACTCAGCCTTAAAAGAAGTAATGCAGAGTTCCTGAAAAAAGACAAGCAGATATTTTCCAAACAACTTACCAATAAGCAATATAATAGCATGCAACAGTTTAACTAAAAGATTATGATGTGATTAAATCTTAATTTAAGAATAATTTTACATCAACTACAATGGTAGTATCTTGTAGTGAAAGCTTTGTTTCTTTTTCTAAGCACATTAAGAAAAGCCTGTTTTATCCACGCTTAACTGCCATCTTTAAGATGTTTATATTAGTGTTCCTTTAGTGTGGGGTTAGTTGACTCTACCAACTTACCTCATGACAGAGCTCTTCTGTCTTAATCTGAATACTTACTGTTTATTTGATGGTAATATTAGAAAATCAAGAGAATAGTTTGTATGTATTCAGAATAAAAGGTCGTGTTACTGCTGTGTCTGTCCAGGAGTGTTTCACACCTGTCAACCACTGTTACTTCTCCAGTCATGACAAACCTTTGCGTACGATAAATATGTGTTTGAATGCAGATAAAGTGAAGATAAACAACATGAAGATACAACAATAACAGTGTCTTGAAATGTTAAAGATGTGTAACTTTTATAGTGTTTAAACGATGGTTGCCTTTTTCTTGGCCATTGCTTCCTTTTATTTAGAATAACTTTCCATCTGAAGTTTTTAGAATATATTCATCATTACAGAAGCTGTACTCTGCATGAAGTTAAATGAGATTTCTGCTTTACTGTGAATATAACTGTTATTAAAATACCCCAGTGGCTGACTACGTGCTTTTAAGATTGTTGTTTTTCTGATTAAACCTCTGGAATGTAGAATCATGGAATAGTTGAGGTCTGTGAAGGTCATGGAGTCCAACACTCTTCCTCAAACCAGATAAACTGGAGCAGGTTGCTCAGGACCCTGTCCAGTCGAGTTATAAATAACTCTGACAGTGGAGGCTATACAAGCACTCTGGCCAACCTGTAGAACATTTCAGTTATTATTTTTATATTTGAATATAAATATTGTATTTATAGTTGAATTCATGTGGAACAAAGATCCTTGAACAGGTTAGTGGCTGCTTCTGTAGAAAATATGCAAAAAGAATCATCCAATATAACTTTTTTTTTTGGTACAGACAGGGATTTGGGAAAACCGAAATATGATATGGATAGAACAGATCCATTAGAGAACAATTATACTCCAGTTTCTTCTGTGACAAATATTTCATCTGGCCACTACCCTGTCCCTACACTGAGCAGCACTATTACTGTTATTGCTCCTGCTCATCATGGAAATAACACTACTGAAAGCTGGTCGGAGTTCCATGAAGAGCAGCTGGACCACAACTCCTATGGAAGACCTCCGCTGCCAAAGAAACGCTGTAGAGATTATGATGGTAAGTCTGTATTTTTTCTGATTGCTTCCTGCAGTTGTGATTGTCCCCTCTCTGAAAAGACTGAGGTAATTTTCCTTTATTTTCCTGATCTCCTCTAATACTGTGTTTTTGCTGTTGCGCGATTCTTGAATGCAAATTTTCTCTCATTTTTTATTAACTTAGCTTTTAGACAGCTTGCTTTGTGTTTGTATAGGTTTTTTAGTTACTAGAATTATTTTATATAGATGAAAAACAGTATATTTGTATTAAAAAGTTATAAAAAAATTCCAGTTTTACCTAGGTTTTCTGCCTTATATGATGTTCAAGCCACATACTGTGTTTGACAGTTTTGACCATGATTAGCACCTTACTGACCTAGAAAGGTCTAGAGCTGCAACTTCCCAGGCTCATGCTAACCCATTTTTTCCCGTGTAGGTTTTTCTTGAAATAGGGTGGCTTTTTGTGCTTATCTGTATCTTAAGCTATCACTTAGCATGTCTTGTGCCAAAATCCACACAAGAGGCTGCTGCATTTGGCAGAGACTTAGCTAAATTCAGCTGGTCGACCTGTTAGCTCAGAAGAGTTTAAATTTCCCTCTGAAGTTTTTTCTGAGTTTTTTGTTGTTGTTGTATACCACAGTGATGAATTTAAGATGTAGGCCAGTTGACATTCAGAACTCTGATTAGAACAGAATTTATTTTTAAGTGAAGAAAATGGGAGGCTGAGCTCTCAAGTGTTGGCAGAGTTGTACTTGTGAAGAATAGCTTTGCTGGTGTATGTCACAGCAATACTGTGGAGCAAGTAGACTTGTGAAAGTGTAGTTTTGTTTCAATTTTCTTCTAATGCAAGCTGAGCTGCAGAACATTGTGTAGTGGTCTCTCAGCTCCACAGGTTTTTTTTAGAAAGGAACAAAACGTGCAGGGTAGTATACTTTTGAAATAACATCTCCAGGCATGACACTGGGACTTTGTATGTTTAACAGTCTGTCTTCTTTAACAGCTTATTATTTCCGAGTGTGAAGCACATGCTTGTGTGTTGGAAAACTGATAAAGTTGTACTCAAATCGTTACTGTTTTGGGTTTTTTCTCTATGCTTCTTACTGTTACTAAAATCTCCCAGTAGATATCTCTTCCATCTGCTTTTCTCATGCCTGTTGGTGTCTTCTAGATTTATAAGCTCACCTCTCTCTTCAGAGGCTAGCTAGTTCTGACATACTGCTCTTCCTGTCTGCAGCTTCACATTTTCTACTTGACCCTCTGCAGAACTGTTGTTTTTCAGTAATGTTTCTGTTTACATGTTCTTTAACTCTTCCTGAAGATGAGGTAATACGAACTGCTTTTCAGCGTCATGTTTTGAGGAAGTGGACACTCGGCTTTCTTCCTATTTTACCGAAAGGTGTTTTGAACTTTTACCTCATATTGCATTGTACCGTATTGGTTTTTTTGTAGGGACTGTTGCTAAACAGATAATCATAGAATGATTTGGGTTGGAAGGGATCTTTAAAGGTCATCCATTCCAGCCCCCCTGCAATGAGCAGGGACATTTTCAACTAGATAAAGTTGTTCAAAGCCCCATCCAACCTGACCTTGAATGTTTCCATTGATGGGGCATGCACCACCTCTCTGGGCAACCTTTTCAGTGTTTTACCACCTTCATTGTAAAAAATTTCTTACTTGCATCTAATCTGAATCTACCCTCCTTTAATTTAAAACCATTACTCATTGTCCTTTCACAGCAGCCTGTCAAAAAGTCTGTCCCCATCTTTCTTACAGGCCCCCTTTAAGTGTTGAAAAGCCGCAGTAAGGTCTCCCAGAGCCTTCCCTTCTCCAGGCTATAGTCAGCCCCAGCTCTCTTAGCCTTTCTTCATAGGGGAGATGTTCCAGCCCTCTGGTCATTATTGTGGGCCTCCTCTGGACCCACTTTGTTGTTTTACTTGTGTGTAAAAGAAAAGAAGTGAATGCATATTCATTTTTGTTTATATGTGTGTATTTTATATTTACATATCTATGTATATACAATACATACATGTGCAAGTAACTGCAAAAGAGAAAAAAGAATTGGGAGTGAATTTTCTCACATTGGAATTTTATAATATTAAAGTCTAATTTTAATAGGGTTTGTCAATCCCTGTATCTGCAATTTTTACTTAGAAACACTGTTTTTGTTAATGTGATGACACGTAGATTTCATTGTTTCCTTTCACAGTTTGTCACAATTCAGTGCAGAATTAATTCTTCAGGAAAAATCGATCTCTGATATTTATTCTGCTAGGATGTCGCTGCAATCTTCCTGTGTGCTGACTGTTAAAATAAAGTTAAACAGCCAATTTTATTTTTCTAATACAAATTTCTGCTGGTATGTGAAGCTCTTAGTTTACAAACTGCTGCGTTACACATAGAAGGTCTCATATCTACTCTGGATCAAACTACAGCTGTTGAATACTAACAACAATTTTTTATTTATTTTTTTTTATGTTTCAGAAAAGGGTTTCTGTATGAGAGGAGACATGTGCCCTTTTGATCATGGAAGCGATCCAGTAGTGGTAGAAGATGTGAATCTTCCTGGCATTCTGCCTTTCCCAGCACAGCCCCCTGTTGTCGAAGGACCACCTCCTCCTGGACTTCCTCCCCCTCCACCAATTCTGAGTCCTCCTCCTGTTAACCTTAGACCTCCAGTACCACCACCAGGCCCCTTGCCACCTAGCCTTCCACCTGTAACAGGTCATTAAAAAATATTAAACCCCATTTTTTAGTAGAAAAGCCTGATGTTACTTGGTTTGTGCGCAGTGTGAAAAAACTGTTGTAAGAGTGCTGACTATAATTTAGAAAGCTGTACTATGCTCTACTCTGGCATAGCTTACCCCCAAATGATTGTTTTTTATGGTAGTTGTTACAAAGTTGATTGTTGTAAAATTTACATGTTAAATGTGAATCTTGAATACAGAATAGTATTTTAATTGTGTTTAAGCAAAAGCATGGCATGGCAAAACTCGGTTACTTGAGTTCTATAGAAGTTGTCCAAAACTGACAAAAGAAGGAAAGATCCCAGAAAACAAGAGATATTTGGCATTTCAGTTGTAACTAGAATTAAAGAGAACTCATGACCACATCAAATTTATATCTGAAAATCTGTCATTTGCAATTAATTTTGAAACTAAACTTATAACTAAGAAAGAAAATTATCCAGCTTGTTCGCTCTTTCTGTTGGAAAGTACTTTGACTCAAGCACTAAAAGTTACATGAAGACTGGTATGCTTGGCTGTCATTTATAAAATAGCAGTTTAGTATTCAGTTCCCTTGTGTGGTTTAAAAACTTAAGTTAGTTTTATGTGATTATTCCTTTCTCTCTTTTGTATTAACTTAGATGTCCTACTTGATGAAATTATTCAAGAATAATTGATATTTGATATTGCTTGAAAGTTTCTTAAACTGTTTTAGTTTCCAGTTGGTAGTGTACTGAAGCAAGAACTGAATTAATTTATTTCACTTAGTTTAGAGAGTAAATGTATTGTTGGGGTGATCCCTTCTGCCTTACATGGTATTTCCAGATTTGTGTGCAAAGTCCAACTATGTGACTTTACAAATATGTATCTTTTTCCAACATGTGGGATTGCCATTGATTAACTGGAAGGTCAGGCTTGACTGCTCAGTTTTGAAAGTGTTACCTTACCTGTTGTAAAAAAAGTCAAGCCAGCTAACCAACCAACGAAAAAAAAGCCTGGGTTTTAAGAAGGATCCCTTTGACTTTTCACCAGAGTTGTAGATTTCTTCTTGGGTGTTTGGAAAAATAAATCAAGTTAGTTATTTTCATCATAGAATATTTTTGTTATACACTATTAAAAAGTAGAATTTGTTTCTTTGAGGGGTGTTTATAGAGCTTTAAAGATCTTCTATTGTTGAAGATAAATACTAGGTTAGCAATTAAATTTTGCTTATAGAAAGAAGGTGGAGAAATGTTAAACTATTCACAGGCTTTTCTGTGTAATCTAAGTTCCGAGTCATTTGCCGGTGGGGATGGTTTAATATGAATGAATGGTACAGCATCCTGTCTGTATACATGCCCTCTCACCTCTCTTTTTTTTTTTAAAATAGCATTAAAAACATTTCAGATTAGTTTCCCTATGAGTTGAGTATAACCTAAGTCTAGAGGATAATAAATGAATGCAGTGTTTTCCTTTGTTTTTGGCAGGACCACCCCCTCCACTTCCCCCATTGCAGCCTGCTGGCATGGATGCTCCCCCAAACTCAGCAACTAGCTCAGTTCCCACTGTTGTTACAACGGGTATTCATCACCAGCCGCCTCCTGCTCCACCCTCTCTTTTTACAGCAGGTGTAGTACTGAGGCTTTGCCCACAAGGTTTGCTAAATAGAATAACATTGATTCATATTATACTGTACTTGTTAGAGATTATGATTTCATAGTTTGGGAGAATAAGTATCATTTTAGATTGTGACAGTAACTTAATACTGTTTTTTTTCTAAGTTAGTTGAGGACTGATGTAAAATTTGTATGTAAAACATGAATCTTGACTATGGAATAATATTTCACTGTGTTAAAGCAGAAGACTTGACATGGCAGTTTTTTAATATAGTTGTTATATAACTCTTCCATTGTGACTGTATCTTGTAATTAATTGAAGTATTATATTTGAAACCTTAGGGGTTTTAACTGCAATTTATTTTAATTAGACATTTTCTTTGTTACTAGAAACGTACGACACAGATGGCTATAATCCAGAAGCTCCAAGTATAACAAATACTTCAAGACCTATGTATAGACATAGAGTACATGCCCAAAGACCAAATTTGATAGGACTTACATCAGGTGATATGGATCTGCCACCCAGAGGTATGCTCTCAAAGCTGTACTTAATTAGTTTAGCTGGTTTTCTTGCATTAAGGCAGATTGAGGCAGTTTTCAGAGAATATAATACCGGAAAAGGTTGTATTTTTTAAAACCTTCTGGAATTAAGAGAAGTTTAATTGAATAGGGAATTACTGTCATGTTGGTTTGTGCGTGTGTTTTTACAGGTAAAGTGAAATCTCTTGCTAGAGCATCGCACTGTCTACACTTGGCTATAATAACTGGTCACTTTGTACGTATTTTATACAGAAAAACATTAATGTTTCTGTAATAAACTTTTAGGATGTTTTTTTCTACAGAGAGGAGTGAATTATTTTAATCTGGTAGCAAACAGTTATGCATGACTAATCTTATCCTCATAGTTCCTGTGATCCTGAGCAGAAGCAGCAGTATACAAAATGAGAAAGGAAGAGGAATAAAATCAATTTTTTAAATGTGGATTTGTTTACATTTGTATGTATTTGTATTTAATCTTATTATGTTTCAGTCAGTGTATTTTCAGTGAGGAGTCCCCCAATATGGTTCCTGTTCTTCAGCAAGAGCCATTCCTCTCCCACCCCATCCTTAAATCTTGCTCCTTGGTGTTAGTGCTCTGGAGTACTGTGCATTTCCTATCATGAGCATTTTAGTATGTGCCATCTGATAGTAGAATGGAGGTGTTAGCAGAAATGGTGTGAGCCTGAGAGTCTTGTACGGGACAGAGTCAATCAGTGAGTGCAGTCAGGATCTTGAGGCAGATGCCTTCTGTCACACCTCTTTTGTTTTCCTTCTGTGTGATGTTTCTGTGGCAAAATGAAAGCTAGTAGCTATTTTGATCTGTCACAGCATCTGTTGATGGTTAAGACAAAAAGCCTGTGACCGAGATTTCATCCAGTTTGAACAAGGATCATAGTAATTTCAAAATAAACAGTTGTACTTTTCAGTGCAAATTCAGTGTGAGCAGAATACCTTTTTACAATCAAATACCCAATAAATACAAAAAATATTGTAAAATCTTTTCATCTGTTTACAGAAAAACCTCCTAATAAAAGTAGTATGAGAATAGTGGTAGATGCTGAATCCAGGAAAAGGACAATTGGTGCAGGGGATGCTGGAGTTCCTACAAAGAAGACTTGGTTTGACAAGTGAGTGATCATTAACACAAGGTTGGCTTAATAGTTGGATTTTCATGGAGCTCTTTTCTGTAATCTGAAACATACATAAATCTGTGTGAATTGCAAGTTAACCTGTCAATAAGCTGATTGTACTAAAATAAGTCATACTATAGGGTGGTCTGTGTTTGACTGTCTTCTCTCAAAGGCAGTATAGAGATAGCTGAAGTTGCTTTGGATAATACTAAGGTCTACTTCCTGAAAGATGGAATGATCTAAGAAACAAAGAAGCCGCAGTGTGATGGCTGTTAGGGATGACTGATGTTAGTTTTGAAACGTGAATTAGGTCCTTGCTATTTTGGATTGAGTTGCCAGGTATGTTACTGACAGAAAATCCGTGGAGACGCAGTGCTTAGTGTCCAAATACGCCTGAGGTGATAAAAGGTTGGAAGGGATTTTAAGAGATTACTGGTACTTAGGAGAGGCTTGAGGTATTAGTTATTTGAAATGTTAGTGGGGAAATTCTGTGGAATAGCTGAGAAATAGTTTTTGGAAAGAAGCATTGTGGAAGTTGGGACTTACTGACACAAGCAAATTACAGTGAATTATCTCACAGATTTATGTGCTGGGGTATGCTGAGAGTATTGGTGGGGAAATCTGCAGGTGTATGGGCCTGTGCACTGTACTCTTCTAAACTTTTCTAAAATGACGTTTTTTTTAAAGTCTGCAGAGCTTTCTGTGTTTTATACACATGCTGCTATGTAAACATATACAATTTAACGATGTATAAACCTCAAAAGAAAAAGGGAAGTCTATAAGCCTTGGAAGAATGGGCAGGCATCCAGGGAGGACTACAGGGAGGAAGTTAGGGCATGTAGGGAGATAATCGGGGGCAAAAGCCCAACTGGAACTTAGACTAGCCTGCTCCATAAAGGACAACAAAAAGTCCTTCTATAAATACATTAATAACAAAAGGAGGGCTAAAGATAACCTCCAGCCCCTACTGGACACAGGGGGTACATTAGTCACTAGGGATGAGGACAAGGCTCAGGTCCTTAATGTCTTCTTTGCCTCAGTCTTTAATAATAAGGTTAGTAGTTCCCAGGTGAGCTGGCCTTTGGTGTCTGAGAGCAGGGAGGGAGAGCAAATCGAAGCTCCTGTGATCCAAGAGGAAGGGGTCAAGGATCTGCTTCGTCAACTGGATGTCCACAAGTCTATGGGGCCTGATGGTATCCACCCGAGAGTCCTGAGAGAGCTGGCGGATGTCATTGCCAAACCCCTGTCCATTATCTTTGGGCAGTCTTG